ATCCTGAAACTGTAAATCCTAATGACAAACCCTGCTCCTCTTGTCCCGAACTCAAAAGACAGATCGAAAATTTACAATGCCAATTACAAAATTTAACAGTTGAAAATCAGACTCTTATCGATAACCAAAGCAGACAGATCGAAAATTTGCAAAGCCAATTACAAAATTTAACGGCTGAAAAACAGACTCTAAGCGGGCAGATCGAAAATCTACAAAACCAATTACAAAATTTGACAGCTGAAAAGCAGACTCTAATCAATAACCAAAGCGGGCAGATCGAAAATCTACAAAGCCAGTTACAAAATTTAACAGCTGAAAAGCAGACTCTAATCAATAACCAAAGCGGGCAGATCGAAAATCTACAAAGCCAATTACAAAATTTAATGGCTGAAAAGCAAACTCTAATCAATAACCAAAGCAGGCAGCAGATTTTCGTTAAGACTCCTACTGGGAAAACTATAGTTTTCGAATGCCGCGCAAATGACACTATAGGTCATCTAAAAGAATTAATTTGAACAAAGAAGGCATTCCAGTAAACAAACAAAGGCTTAGTTTTGCTGGTGGAATACTGGGAGACAGCCGTACACTCGCAGATTATAACATTCAAAATCAGAGCACAGTACATTTAAATTTGATTCTACGTTTCTTTGGAACCAGATGATTACGATTTTACACATATTATGGATATCGGAATGGCCATGCGAGGAATGGTTCGGCATCGAAGACTATGTGGATGGCTTTAAGAGTTTCTAAAAGATACGGCAATGCTGATAATACTTGGCTTCGTACTGTTGACACAGCTTAGCAGGTGTCTTATAATGAAACAGCTAAATATTATGCAAGACTAATTTCCGAAGAATGATATTTGTTGAGCAATGAGGAAACGTCAATAACTATTAATGGGATGGGAAATTGTAACTGTATCTAATATCGTTTGCGTTGTATTTATGCCAATAAAATTTTGCATTTCTTAAACCAATGGCTGTAGAGTGCAAGCTGTATCGTATAATTGAGTGTAGCGAGATTATTTATATTAGCAGACTCGCATTGTCAGTACAATTTTCAGAATATCAATACTCAAACCAGCTTGCAATGTGCAATAAGAAAGTAAAGCGGTGGTACTTACCGCACAGCATTTGTAATGTGAAGTGGTTTCTCAAGATCAAGAAGCACTAATCCCATATTAATATTAGATAAGTCTCCGGGAGAGATAGTTGCAAGTATGAACAGCTTTTTGGTGGCACTGATTGATACATTTACATTGCGCATGCTAGTCCCCTATTATTGTAGTCTATGCCAAAGAAGCAAAATGAAAGGACAGTCAATTGCGATTTAGTAAATATTATGTCTCAATACTACCATTTGATTACAGAACTCAGTTCAGATTCTATATGGAACGACGGTCGTTTACATGATTTGCCTGTTATTGAGTGTATAGTATAGCAAACTATGTAAATGACATGTTAGCTTATAGTACCGTATTCTTCAATAAGAGACTTTTTTGTTATAGCGTTGCTTATTTTCAGGTAGTTTAATAAAACGAAAGAAATTCGATCACGCAACCACCGAATCATGTGATTTTTGTCGATAGTTCATCATCCGCGATTTATCACGTACTGTAAATACGCGCGAAACAGGTTTAAACCTATATACAAATGACAAAACAGAGAAGAGTTGTTAAAAATGTTAAACGTAAGACCCAAATTGTAAAACGAATACGAAATTCGTACGAAATTGAACATAAAAAGAAGGTTATTGCCTACGCAAAAACCATGGAAATAACCAAGCAGCAAGACACTTTGACATTGATTGTGGTATGGTAAGTCGTTGGGTAAGTGCAAGTTCAAAATGGACAAGCGAAACAAGCGGGTTGGTGTTAATGATGATGGTAATTATGATGACGATAATACCACTGACTTCGTCATTGGCGAGGATATTATTGACATCATTGGTGAGACTGATATCACGGATTAATCTTTTCCGACAATTTTATTATTTTTTTTATTGTAATAATAAAATAATTAATTTTTCCGAAGTGTTGCTTATTTTCGGGTGTTGCTTATTTTTGGAAGAATACGGTACTTATAATTTTTTTATTTTTTTTTTGGCTAATTTTTTAAATTTATTGAGCTTGGCTTGTCAATTCAAGATTAATAATAACAAAGATAGCACTTTTCAGCATTTGTAAATATTATGTCTGTAGTAATTGGCTTGTAACAATCCTTAGCAGATTTGCCGGCTTGCGAACAATACACGTATACAGTTTATAAAGTGCCCGTTTAACCTAATATCGAGTGTAGACTGCATATAATTTCTTATGCGCAATGAGGCTGGTAACATGTAGATCAGTACGAGCCATCTGCCTCGCTCAATAACCAACAAATATCCGCGGAATTGTCTATTTTGGCATCAGCGGACTTATCGTTACTAGCGGCTTTTGATGATAGGATTAGCTAATCTTCATTCACCACATGAGAATTGTTACTTTTGCCATACATTCATTATTTCACTACACAAACAATGAAGCAAATAACCGTGTACTATGAGTAGGATAATTGCATGAAACATAATTGAGAAAATAGGTTAGGTAAAGAGTTCAGCTCTTTCAGGTACTGACTGTGGGAGAGTATAGAAAATGCACTAACATTATCCTTTAAACAGTTAAATCTGTGTAACAAATTTTGTTCCACAATGGGCTGATATAGTAAGAAAACAAAGACAACTCTCACAATCTCGCCATCGTGCTTTGATTTCTCATAATCACTTCTCCGTCTTGTAAATTGTTAACATGTCAGTCTCTCGTGATGCTGATCTTCTCAATGCGGCACTTTCAGCCGTAATGGGGACGCATCATTTTGTATCAGAAAGTGTATTTAAAGAAAGACTAGCCAAAACGAAAGGTGTCTATCAGCAAGTCGATTTGCATTCACTGCATCAATCTAATCTTGTTGGCGGTGATGTCAACTCTGCTGCTGAACAAAACACTAACAATGACCAAACATCCAAGCAAGAGACCACCAACCAAAGTGAGCCACAATCCAACCAAGGGTGGGAAATTGTCATAAAAAATCTTACTGGGAAAAGCATCACGCTCAGATGCGAGGAGACTGACACCGTAAGTTCTGTGAAGCAGCAAATTACGGATAAGGAAGGCCATCCGCCGGACCAACAAAGGCTTATTTTTGCCGGTCAAACACTGGAGGATGATAAAACGCTCGCCGATTACGACATTCAGAACGAGAGCATAATACATTTGATTCTACGTCTTCGTGGTGGCGGATGTATAATCAGTTATCTGCCGTCGAGTGCCTTGGACTCGAAATACGATTACGATTTTACACATATTAGGGATGTTGGAGTGACGTATATGAGAGGAAACGTTCAGTATCGAAGACCATGTGGATGGAAACGCTTTGCTTTAAAGGTCACTGGCAAATACGACAATGGTAATAATGCTTGGCTTGGCATCGATAAAACGGCTTGGCCGGTATCTTACCATGGAACTGCTAAATATAATACGAAATCGATTTCTGAAGAAGGATACCAGTTGACTAAAGGAAAACGTTTCGCTTTCGGGCGTGGCGTTTACTCAACACCCGATGTGAACTTGGCCGAGCGTTATGCGACGGAATTCCAGTTCGATGACAAGAAATATGTGATAGTGATTCAGAATCGAGTAAATCCAAAAAATTTAGTAAAGATTACGACGACGGCAGAAGCCGGAGTTGGTGAGTATTGGATTGCCAAGGGTGGTGAAGATGTCAGGCCATATGGAATTTGTATAAAAGAAAAGAAGTCTTAAAGTGGGTTAACCGTTTGTAGAAATATTGTGAATAAATGTTATCAGTATCAGTTATTTTCCGTATATCCAGTAAATACACTCATTGATTTACGCATGTTACCCTGAAGTACAGTATGTAATTTTCGTTTATAGAAACCGATCAAAAATCAGACTAATTTCGATATTTAGGTCCAGAAGACAAAGTTGGTAATATTCTCGACTTCAACATTGATACATTATATTCACGAGTTAATATATGTGGTGGGGTGCTATTTATGTAATAGTAAGCTTTCACGGGTTTTCAGAAGTCACCTCAGTCTTCAGATCTCTACCCTAAACTAATATGTAGCCTATTACAAAGATAGTGTAACAATTTGCAACTTCTTAGTGTAGTATTTATGTCGTATATGTTTACGCTTTTATTGCATCATTGTTTGGTCATAATTATATATATACATTTTATATCATATATCGTCATAGTTATATACAACATTTATATTGCTCAATAAACAATGACTTTTTAGCTGAACGTCTAATAAACCGTCCACTGACTTTGAAATTACTAACATATTTCGAAGTCCTTTACATATGGGTGGAATATTTGCTAGACTAAAATAAATTATAATTTACCATTTACATTATTACTAAATAGCTACCAAACAGTGACATTTTAAACAAGCTAAATGATAATGTTATGATTCAATAATGATAGGCTTGTTATACGATTTATTAGAATATTACTATGTCAATGGCTTGATTGGAAGCCAAGTTACACAACCATTATACTTTACTTGAATAAACCATACTAATACGAAGTGGAGTGGAAATGCATAATCACCAACAAATGATTGTACAATAAGCAAACAGAGGCTAAACAGAAAATATGATAGTCGCGCAATTTTTAGTGTAACCTCATGTAATGATCGCAAATGAGGTAAGATTATTTGGTTGCACAAAAATTTACGGTAAACAGGTTAAGAAACAGCTTGATGAACGAATAAGCGTCAGGAAAAATAAAAATAAAAAAATTAGTAATACGCATAAGTGAACCGACCGCTTGAAAAAGTTTTTTAATTCAAACCATGTTGTCGACTCTAGGGTTTGTTAATAATCCAACAATTGAAAACTTGATTCAACCTTTTTTAGTAAATGGTTATTATAAACTTGACTGGATTCCTTACGAGGAAATCGCCGACATAGCGTCAAGTCAAGTCGACGATGTCTCTTTCGCCATTCACAAACGTAAGCCGTATGTTGAAGCGAGGGAAACACAGATAATGTTGTTATGGATTGGAAACAGCAAGGCACCAACGCTTGTGAGTGAGTTTGGTAGAATATACTCACTTCCGACACAAAAGTACAATAATGATGACAATGACTTCAAAAGATACAAAAGATGGCTTTCCTATCGCAACAGCATGATATGTGGGTTCACCAAGTACGAAGATAACTATTACATGGTTGCCAAGAGACGCTTTTACCATTGTTATTTCAGATATGGGTTTTGTACTGCATGTGGAATACTCCGGTGTAGTCCTGTGTGGTGTGTTTGCGGACATAAAGAATTATCCAATGGATGGACTAGCAACAATAAACAACTCAATGAGTTTATTGAGAAATCTTAATTACAAACAAACTCGGCAAATGATGTCTGTTTGGAATGGATTCCATTTGATTGTATTCATGATAGAGGATCTTACGTGCGTTTAAATGTTTTATCTGCTTATAAAGATATTAAATTGACTCCTCTTGAGACGGATGAGTTATGTTATGACAAGGTGACTAATACTTTATGTTTATTCGCCGTTTAACTAAATATTGACTTGTGCATAATTTGTGATAAGTATCCAGACATTCTTACCACAAACGTTTGGAGTACCATCGGATTCACATACGATGCAAGTAAATGGAAGTACTATTTGGTAAAAGAATATTATAAGTATGGACTATGTCCAGCGTGTTTATGGCAATTAGAGCCTGCGATAAATGAATTCTGTTATTGGTATAAAGCACCAGCATTTCCTAATTGGACTACGAGCAACAAGTCTTTGGATTCATTTATAGTGGAGTCGTGGAATAACGTGAAAAATAAGTATGATGCTTACATACAATGGATAGAGTATTCTTTATTGACAGACGTACAACAGATGACATCATTACGCCATGGATGCACACATATAGCGAAATGGTTAGAACCGACGGCAAATGAATGGATAAAGGTGACACTCAAGCAGATAGTAATAAGTGATACTCGGTCGCTTAATTTTCATCAGGTAAAATATTTACGTGTAAAATAATCAAATAGTGTCAAGTATGCATTGGCATTGATTACTGTACGTGTAATAATTGTATTGTTTACTCGAATAGCTGATTAAGGAATACTAACCCCCGATAATATTTGGATAATTGGAATTACTCAAGAGCCATCTACTCAAGCATATTATTTAGTTTTTTACCATGAAATACACGTAATATTGGACAAGTTCATATGAGATATATACGGTATGCCGACTTTTATGAACTCAGAGAGATCGGATCTGGTGGTTATGGAACGGTCTATACAGCAAAGTATAAGTATTCAGAAGAAGAAAATATTCCAGAAACTGTCGTCCTCAAACGTCTTAAGAATTCTGATCAAACGCCGGAATTATTTATTTCCGAGGTAAAGCATTCTGTAATTATTGAGTTTGAAATGTAAAGTGATATTTAATCTGATGCTGTATACTTAATAGTTCCGAAATCATGCCACGTGCACAACACGCAACACTTTATTCCTTCAACTTTATGGAGTCACGCAAGACCGAGAAACAAAAGAGTACATGATTGTTATGCAATATGCTAACAATGGTAGTCTATTGTCTTATCTGGGTCAAAATATTAACAAATTGACGTGGTGGATGAAATTGCAGCCGTTATGGGATATTGCATATTATCTAAAAAATATCCATGATGCGGAATTAGTGCATTGTGATCTTCATGGCGGAAACGTAGTTTTGCATGATAGCGATAAATCATTCATATGCGATCTTGGTCTTTCACGATCAGTGCATTCAAGCGAGTCAGATTCAACCATTCGAGGTGTTTTACCCTTTATTGCACCGGAAGTCTTCCATACCTGCAAATTTACTCAGAAATCAGATATATATTCTTTCGGTATTATTATGTATTTGATGGCCGCTGGTGAACCACCATTTAGAGATAGGCAGTTTGATAGAGATTTAGTATGCGATATCATGGGTGGACTACGACCAATGATGCCTGACTCAAGAATATAAAAAACTTGCTAAGATGTGCTGTGATGCTGATCCTAACAAGCGTCCAGATACTTATCAAGTTAATGAATATATTCATGATGCGCTAAAGAATAAGGCTGACGTCTGGAATACCATTTGTCACAATGATGTAACACCTTTATCACGTCTCGAAAAGGAGAGTAAATACTCTAGTAAGTTCTTACCTACAGGAGATTTACCTACACCGAGAAATAGCTATGATTTGGATTCAGCAGCAGGTATGGCTACATGCATGTTTAATACAAATGAAGTCAATTTACAATGTTAACACCGATTCGTTTCTTATAATTAGAAACTCAAACTATAAACTTGTAATTAACGGAGCAGTTTATACGAGTTTTTATTCAAGGGGTTAGTCACTCCCTTCCTGATAAAAATATGATATGCTTCCATGCATGTCAATATGGTTGAGTCAATAGGATGCCGAAATAAAATTGTACTGTTAGCTGCCTTTGCTGGGATAGATTATTTGAATATGTAAGAAAATTAGAGTACAGTACATTATTTAACACGACTTTTATGATTGGTACAAATATGGTGCAAAGAGGGTATTAATTTGGTTAGCGTCATGCAGCAAAGGCGGACTGTTCTCATATAAATTTTTAAAAAAAAATTTTTTTTTAAATAATCGATTTCAATTTCAATCAGGGACGACATCAACAACGTTAATCAGTACAGAATATATTCCTATTGGCTTAGGGAGCGAGCGCAACAAACTCGTAAAAAGATTTACCAAGTGTGATAACAACTGTTATTCTCGACAGCTGTTCAGTGGAACCGCCTGATATGTTTCGGGAAAAACATAATAGTAGAGTCACGAGAAACGCTTAACTTTATTGACAAGCGACCTTTTTGTGCGCTTCCTTACTTTCTCAAACATTGGTTTTCTTCGAGCATCCACACTCTCCATCTTTATGTATGATCAATCGCTGTCTCGAAGTCTTGGCGGATAGGATTCATCAGATTTTGAGTAAGAGATTTGTTTGGTTGTTTTCTGTAGACGAGAAGCGTATCGAATGAAGTGTAATGCATGTGGAGGATTTGTTACCAAATAATTAGAGTAGAGTGATTTAATTAAGTCCTTCAGAAACATGGAAGATGTGGAAGAGGTGAGTAAGGTCCTTGTGGGTGTATAAATACAAAACATAAATAAAAAATTATATTAAAGATTGTAATTATAGAACATGTCTTTGATTTATTGTAATAATAATTGAGCTTTGCAAAACTGGTTGTAAATCTAATAAAAATTTTCATCATCAACTTGTACAATTCACCCAACTGACTTGCTGTTAAAGCCATCAACTATAAGGTGATATCTACATCTTCTACAAATGTTACAGTAGAAATTTGAAATACAGTATTAGTTATTACAGTTTCTGAAGTCAAAGTTGACATTATTATCCTGGTTTGTCTTTTATGGATATGCCACATATCAGCTAAGTAATTTACCTGTTGTAGTGGATATGCAATCCATACTGAGTGTATAAAGTCCATCAAAGAAAATATGATGCAGAATTATGCAATCAAAAATTGGTCAAACTGTGAGAATGCTTAATCCTTTTGTTGATATTTATGAATGTCAGTAAAGTTTGACATGACACAGTATCATCATCAAATGGATATTCTTTGTTGGCAACTTTTTGAGAGTTCTGCAATGACTGTGTCTTGAATAATAGTGCTGTACCCACAGGCCAATTGGGTAAGTTTAGTGATAGTGAGGAAGATTGT